GGGGACCGATCTCCAGATCAGGTTCCAAGGGCTGGCCCACCCTGGGGCATGCAACCCCCTCCCACCCCGAGAGAGGCCACTGGCAGCAATGGGCGGGGGCCGGGGACCAAGGCAGGGAGGACAAGAGCCGAAACTCAACTGCGGTATGGTGAGATGACACCCAGAGTGGGGGATGGGGGATTAAAAAGAAAACCCTCCGCACTTTCACATGGAAAACTAAAACAAAACAAAAAAACACTCGCTCTGGGCTAGAGAACAAAAAGAGGAATGGTAAGAGAGAAAGTTCTGCAAACAACCACTAACAATGGAAGTGGGCCCTGCCCTGCCCCCAGGAGCTGGGCTCAGCCAGGCGGCCAAGGCCTGGGACACCCTTGAATTGTAGCCTGGGGGGTGGGGGTGGGAGGGGGAAACTGGCCAGACCCACAGAAGCCCAGGCAGCGGCCGTGGCCGCCCCCCCAAACACGCACCCACGAAACACACACACACACACACACACACACACAACACTCGGCCTGCTCCCAGCCCCTCCCTCCCTCCCCATCCTGCCTTCCCCAGCTCCCGGACCGGGGGGACATCAAACACAGTCCCATTGGTTTGAAAAATAAAAGGAATCTTATACTTCAATATTTCATTCGCTAAAAAAATGTTTTAAAAATTATGTACAGGGGGTAGGGGCTGGGAGCCCTGCCGTGGGGCGGGGGCAGGGAGGGAAGGGCAGCAGCCCCCAGCCTGCTCCCCTGGGTTCCAACCCTGGTCCTACTGCCTCTTATATCTTCATTTGTTTGAGTGACTCTTCTGCACACACACACACCGGCACACGCACACACACGCTCGGCCAGCCCGAGACCTCTCCTCCTACCCTCCGAGACCCCCAGTCTGCCCCCAAGAAACCCTCCTGCCCTCGGACCTGGCCCTCAGGCCCCAAGGGACCAATGGGACAAGAGGTGAAGGAGAGGACAACGGGCGCTGGTCCTTGCCCTTCACCGCAGCCACCTTAGGTTGGTTGTGCAATTTCTTGGAGCCTCGGTTTCCCCAGCTGTTAAATGGGCGTCCCCATGACCTCGCCTATCCCAGCCCAGGCGCAGGGACAGACGAGGGCAACCAGAAGGCGCTTCTGGAGACATGGAAGCACTGGGAGGTGGAGGAAGGGGTCCTGAGAACCCCGGGGGCTCCCCTTGAGCCCCAAGGGGCTGCAATGAGGGCCGAAGGCTGAGGAACGCTTCCCGAGGTGGCCTGGGCCTGGGGAGGGGCCTTCCGAGGCCCCAGGCTGGCCCCCTCCTGACAGGCCTGATGCGTGGGGAGATGGGTTAGGAGGGGGCCGAGCATCCCTGACTGCTGAGTGTTAAGAAGGCCGCACAGACCACCTGCCCTGCGTCCTCTCCAGGCCGAAAGGGAAGGGGAAGGACAGGGAGGCAGAGGGGCTGGGAGCATGCAGCGCCCCCCGCGGGTCCTGGGGAGGGACAGACAGTAGCTCGTGACCAGGATGGCGGGGGCGTGTGACAGGAGGGGAGTGTCCCCCACAGGGAGGGCCCAGTGGCTACTGCAGGGCCTCCGCTGAGGGGCCCGCCTCGCCCTCGTGGCCAGCTGCGTCGAAGCTGTGCTCCACGCCCATGATGTCCGGCTCGATCTTGCCCGTGTCGCTGATGAAGGTGGTGTAGGTGTCACCCTCGGCGTGCAGCACCTTGAGCTTGGGCATCCAGCTCTTGCGCACGACACGGCGGGCGTTGGTGCACATGTCGGCCGCAATGGCGTTCATCTCGCTCTCCTTGAAGTTGGGGGCGAAGTTCTGGCAGTAGTCTGCACAGCAGGGCGGCGGCTCAGGCCCTGGCACACGGCCATGCCACCCCCACAAGGCTCCCCCCTCTCCCGGCACCTGTGACTCCCCCACAGAGGGAAGACTGCTGCCGCCATGCCCTGGGCACAGGCCCCCCCAGATGAAGGCAGCCACATGTGGGATGCGTGCGTCTCCAAGGGCTGTCCCGGCTCTGTCACCAGCTTTGGATTGTGGCTGGAATTCAGCAACCGGAAGACCCCATGCGGATACCACCACCTCCCCCCACTACTGGTCTGGTGGCTGCCCCTCTGTCTGGCAGGTTCTGCCTGGAGGCCATGTCCTGCCTGTGGCCACCCTGAGTTTGAGAACTCGCTGCTGGACACAGGCTCCCCAGCGTCCCCTCCAACCACAAAGAAATTGCTAATCAACCACAGCCTTCCTCCAACAGGCCTAGACTGAGCCTCAGAACCTTTCTCAACACCAAACTCCATCTATCCATCAGAGCAAACACGGGGCAGAAAAGGACAGTTGGCTGCCACAGGCCCCACCCTCCACTCCAGATGGCTGGACACTCACACTTGACGGCGTGGAGGACGCGACTGTCCAGTGGCTTGCGGCTGGGGTCATTGGTGGAAGAGCGGATGCCGGTGCCGCAACTGTTGGCCAGTGTGTTCCTGGGGGAGAGGGGGAGGAGGAAAGGCAGGGTCAGAGGGAGTCTGTGCTGGGGGCACGGGACAACACCGCTCTCCTTCCCTGGGCTCTGGCGAGGAACTCACCGGTCAAAGAAGGAGGCCAGAAGCCGCCGCAGCAGGACCTTGTGCCGCGTGCCGGCGCTGACATGGCAGTTCATGAGCTGCGCCCTCGTGATGTACACGTTGGTGCCTGGTGGGGGAAGGGGGAGGTTGGCCGGGGTGGCCCGAGCCCCACAGTCCACAGTTGTGAGGCCAGGCCCAGCCCACTTCTCAGAGCCTCCAGACCCTCTGGGGCCCTTGGCCCCGACGACTCACCCTAGGGACCTCCTTCCCCACTCCATCTCCAGGGCCACCGGGTGAGGCTCCCCGGGACTCCCTGCCTCCTCAGCATTCAGAAAGGACAGAAAGGGTGGCACCACCATCTGCCATCCACGAGGCATCTGCTGGGTGCCAGACCCTTCCCGAGCCTGGCACAACCCCCTGTGCACGAGGCAGGCACCCAGACCATACAGCTACAGAGACGGCCCGGGCTTGGGAAGATTAACGGGGAACAGAGGCTCACACAGCCAGGTTCTTTTTCCTCTTATTTGTTCATTAGAAAATATAGTTTATTTAGAAAGTAAATTAGAGGGAGAATGAGGTGGGGGGGGAGAGATAGATTCACCTCCCCAAGGCAGGGGTAGAGGCCAAAGCTAGGAAACATGGCAGCCACAGCTCAAAGAGCCATTTGGACACCAAAGTTTAACAAAACAATGGCCAGGTTCCTTTTTCTTTTTTCTTTTTTTTGAGTTGGAGTCTCACTCTGTCGCCCAGACTGGAGTGCAGTGGCCGCTTCCGGCCACCGCAGCCTCGACCTGCTGGGCTCCGGCGATCCTTCCGCCTCAGCCTTCCACATAGCTGGAACCACAGGCGCGTGCTACCATGCCCGGCTCATTTTTATTTTATTGTAGAGATGAGGTCTCGCCAAGTTGCCCAGGCGGGTCTCGAACCTGCGGGTTCAGGCAATCCATTCACCTCAGCCTCCCAAAGCCGCGGGATTACAGGCTGAGCCACCGAGCCCAGCAGGTTCTTTTTTCTAAGAGACAGTGTTTTGCTGTTGCCCGATCTGGAATCCCATCTCACTGCAGCCTCCAACTCTCGGGGGCTCAGGCAAGCCTCCCATCTCAGCCTCTCCAGGTAGTTAGGACTACAGGTATCTACCATCATGTCCCGCTAATTTTTAACATTTTATTTTGTAGAGATGGGGTCTTGTTTTATTGCCCAGGCTGGTCTTGAACTCCTGGCCTCAGCCTCCTCCCAAAGTGTTGGGGCTGGGATGACATAAGTCACCACACCCGCCTGGCCAGTTCTTAAGCTCAGTGGTAGCTCTGATCGCCTTAGGAAGTAGCTAATCTTTCCCAGTGTGCCTGACACAGCCAACATGAACACCAGGAGCCCAGAGCCAGGCTTCCGTGGGAACCAACTCATCTAACTTGATCCACAATCCCACCCCAGAGCAGCTGCTTTCAACATCCCAGAAAGGGGAAACTGAGGGTGCTGAGGGGTTCCTAACCAGCTGCCCAGCCCCTCGGAGGTGGGGGAGGATACCAGAAGTGGCCAGCCCACCTGTCACCAGCTCCAGCTTCTCAGAGGGGTCGCCCTCGTCGTACAGCTTGGGATGGCAGCGGTTGCCAATCTGGTTGATGAGCTCAGCCGGGAGCGATGCCAGGTCCTGCCGCACCCGGATGCGATTCCGGGACTCGGGGGCCACCTGCTCGGGGAGGGCCTCCACCTTTTCGGCTGTGGGGAGAGGGCAGCGTGTCGGGGG